GGGAGAAGAGCCCAGAAAGGTATGTTAGTGTGACGACTCGGGCACTGGGGGGAGGGGAGGGGGCGAGCCCCTGGAGAGCTGAGGGGAGATCCTGTGTGATGTGGCTCTCAGCCATGTTTATGTCCTTCCCAGAGGAGAGGAAGCTTTTGCCTCTCGTTAGTGGCTGCTCCAAGGACATTAACTCTTGGACATTTCCCGCCTCTCTGCAGCCCAGATACTTCTAAGCCCCAGAAAACACCATCAGCCACCGTCAGCCACCGAGGCTGGAGGTGAGCTCCACACTGGCCAAAGGAGTGAACTCAGGACCCAACGGCACCCGGTCTGCCTCCCAGTACCACTAAGAAGGTACTAGGATGGCTCCACTTCAGATGGAGGGGCTGCAGGAGGTCACGTTGACTTGTCCCAGTCGCGTGGTTCGTGAAGGGCAGAACTAGAATTCAAGGTCAGGTCTGCCTACTGCAGAGGCCCCACCGTAACCATCACCTTTGCTCTGGGAGCTGCCAGAGCAGGGCACCGCAGGCCGGGCGGCCTGAACAGCAGAAACGTCTTATCTCACAGTTCAGGGGGCTGGAGTGGGGAGACCAAGGCGTCGGTGGGGCCGGTTCCTCCTGAGGGTTGTGAGGCGGCTCTGCCCCTCTCCTGGCTTCTGGAGGTTGCTGGCCATCTTAGGTGCCCCTTGCCTTGCCAATCTGTCTCCCGTCTCTGCTTTACCTTCTCTTGCCATTCTGCCCCATGCGGGCCTCTGTGCCCACGTGTTCCTCTGTTTTGTTTTGGACCAGGGCTGGAACCCAGGGGCGCTTAACCTCTGAGCCACATCCCCAGCCCGTTTTTGTATTTCTTAGCCACAGGGTCTCATAAGTTGGTTAGGGCCCCGCTAAGTTGCTGAGGCTGGTTTAGAACTCATGACCCTCTTGTCTCGGCCTCCCGAGCCCCTGGGATTACAGGCGTGCACCACTGCACTTGGCTCATTTGTTCCCTTTTTACCAGACACTGTATAGGCTGGGACTAAGGCCCATCCTAATGACCTTGACTGATTACATCCACAATGACTCTATTTCCAAGTCAGATCCATCCACCATCACTGGGGGTTAGGACTTGGCCACATGAACACTGAGGAAACACAGCCCAACCCAGGACACCCACCACCACGGCTGTCATTGTCCTCCATACCAGGCAGACCCTAGCCTCTCTTAATCCTTTGAGCTTGTCCATTGATTCCTGGAAAAGAGCTCCTCAGCTTGTGTCCCCAGCTGCTTTGGGTGACCCTACCCTGAAGGTGACAGTGTGACTGGATCATAGATCCAAGGATAGAGGATGGTTTAGATAGATGAAGTCTGAGAGCAGGCCTCAGAGAGGGGGCTTTGGCCTGAGGTCCACCTCCCTGTCACCATGATCACCAAGATTCAATCACCGAGTGCAATAAAGAAAAGTATTATAGAAATCAAACACTGCCAAAAATCTTCCTAAATTTACAACTACATGCAACGAGCAGTCTGGGTTTTCTAAAGAACAAATTATGCCAGACACACTTGATTGTGCCTTTGAGGGAACACGGAATTAAGGGATGGGAACGAGGGTAGAGTTGCAATCCATCTTGATTTTTAATACAGCAATTGATACATTGTCTTGTGGAATTGTCCCTGCAAAATTAATTCAAATTGGCTTGGTGAGAACTGTCCCCGGGGTTGGAAACCAGTGGAAAGATAAACAAACAAATAATGATTAAAGGAGAACACGAAGCCCACAGCCCTCAGGTAGGGAGAGGAGGGATGGGGAGGGAGGGGAAGGCCTAGCTTTTCTGGCAGACTTAGGAATCTGAAGAGGTGTGGAAATGTGTCTGGGGGTGTTTGGGGAGCTGCAGAAGGGATGAGAGGGGGTCAACCAGGAGCCCGCCAGATGGTGGGAGCCACCAAAGGCTCCAGGCCAGATGGGTTGCCCTGCCCACCCAATTGGAAGCTGTTCCTTTAAGAATCTCATGACCTGGATGGAGTGAAGCCTACCTGCCCTGTCCCAGTACCTCCTGGACACCAGTTCCTGCTTTCCTGGTGTTGAGCCCACCTGGCCATCCCCTTTGATGTTGAATTTCTCCAATGCTGTCTCTTCAGCTTCTTGCTTGCAGGGTTTCTCTCTTTTCCCTGAACCAATAACTTTCTGCTAATGCAGCCCTAGTAGAAGCCTCCAGGGGTGTCAAAGCATTAAATATGCTTGTCAAAAATTAACCCTACAGGAGCCGGAGAATATCATGCTAAGTGAAATACGCCAATCCCCACCACAGGGAGGGGGCCGGGGAAGAACAGAGTTACTTTGGGTTAGACAGAGGGGAGGGAAGGGCCACGGGGGTGGGAATGACAGCAGAATGCACTGGACATTATGACCCTATGTGCACATGACCTGTGTAACTCTACATCATGTACAACCAGAAGAATGAGAAATTGTACTCCATTTATGGAGGATGTGTCCAAATGCATTCTACTGTCATGACGTATAACTAATTGGAACAAATAAAAAATAATAAGCCCTACCCATCTGCATTTATCATAGTGATTACCCCTCCCCTCCACTTTTAACCACTAAAGTGATAGAGGACATAAGTCAAGGAAGACCTTGCCCAGATAGAAAAATATCAGTAACTCCAACTGGGGATCGAGGACCTCCCCAGGGACAGGGCTGTGTGGCACGGCTTGGCGGTGCCGTAAAAGCCACACCTTCCATTCTCTTTGCACAAACAAGATAAGAAGATCCATTTGTGCTCCCGAAAGCTGACTCCCTCCTCCGTCAGATCTCAGGATGTTATGAAGATGGCCACTTCCTACAGCATTATTCAACAACCGTTTACTGGGAGCCCACCATGAGGCAGTCACTAAGTGTTGAAATTGAATTTATTTCCTGTATTAAATCTCAGGAAAGATTGGAAAGCCCTGTCAGGGAAGTCTCCAGGTGGAATTTTTACACCTTTACAGAATAAAATGTGTATTCTTTAGTGTGCTGCTATTTATTGTTCCCATTGCTTTTTGGGAGGGGCAAATAAGATCCCGGCCTCGAGACAGAAAAAGCGGGGGCTGCAGTATTTTGGCATTTAGCTTGAAGGACGTGAGTTGCCTGTTTGTTCTGAAGCCATCTTCATTCACAGCAATGGTTTTTTAGAGAAGAGAGAGGATTTTTGCTGTTGAAGGGATGTTTAGATCATTGGAAAAAGCTTCATCATGGAAACTTTTTCCTAGAGTAGAATCTCTACATTCGTCCCTAGGGTCTATTTATTCTCTCCTCCTTCTATTGATGACGTCCTCATGCTTTAGCTCTGGCCTCCCACCAAGCATACATTCCCCAGCCTCCCTTGCTGCTGGCTGCCTTGTGGCTCCAAGGCCAAGCCTTTGCCAAAGAGAGTTAAGAAGAAATGATGCCCAAGGGCTTGGGAGGCTGAGGCAGGAGGATCTCGAGTTCAAAGCCAGCCTCAGCAACTTAGCAAGACCCTAAGCAACTCAGTGAGACCTTGTCTCTAAATAAAATATTTAAAAGGGACTGGGGATGTGGCTCAGAGGTTAAGTGTCCCTGGGTTCAATCCTTGGTACCAACGGGGGAAAAAAAATAAAAGAAATGATGTCCACAACTTTTGGGGCTTGCCCTTCCATGTGCTCTGTATCCCATGGACATGGTGCCCCTGAGGCAGCAAGGACCATGACGATGAGGGCCACATTCTAGACAAGAAGGCAGGGACCTTGGATGACCTTACAGAGTTGGGCCACCTGCCCATCAAGGGTCATCTGCCTATCTCTAGATGATCCCACAAGGGAAAAGTGTGCCCACCAAATTTTGAGTATCTCTTCGTTACAGCAGCCTAGATTCTACCCTAATTAATACATTTTTTTTTACTACAGTAAAATTGTTGAAATCTTAAATCCTTTGAATGTGTTTGGCACAAATTATCACAGACTCTGCTCCCCCCACATACTCACCTCTACTTCACAGTTTTTGCTCCTTTACATTCTAACTGCTACAGAGACATTACTTCCCTGCAAAACCTCAAAACGTAGGCAGTAAATGGTAAGTTCCAAAAACAGTGTAACCTTGAGAAGTTCTGCTTTTCCGAGTGTGATCTCTCTGTGCTGGGGGTTGTGTTTGGGTAATAGAAAGTCACGTTAGAGCAGCCAGTGGCCTCTGTTTGTATTGGGGTGTTCTCTAGAGTGGCAGGTCAAACACAGACCAAGGATGCGCCATCCACTCCTGCCCTTCCGGGGGACTGGGCCTCCAGCCACTCTCCATCTGCCAGAGGGGTTGTGACACGACTGTGACTTGACAAGAAGCAGCCCCCTAAGATGGGACAGAGGCATAATTCCTTTCATATTAAAAGAAGGAGGCATAAAAGAGCAAAGGAAATCACGATCATATAATTTTTTAAAATCCTTGTCAGGCAGCACTTTAGACAGAAGAAAGGTGTGGAGAAATCAGGCAAACAATGACAGCACGCCACGGAGCCCGAAAGGCTGGGTGTCACTTGTGCAAGCAGCTTGAGAAAGAGCAAGGGCACATTCAGGATGACAATTAAATTAAAAGAATGGATCATGGTGGCTGAGAAGAAATAGAATCCCACCTTTGATCCGGGTCTCTGTCGTGCTGAGGAGCTTACCAAAGGCACAAACCGCTGAATTGAAATGGTCTAGAAAGCTCCTGCCACTTTTGCCAGCTCTGCCCAGCAGGGTGAGGACCTGCGGTTTGCAGCTGGGACCATGCATGCCTAGGGCAAATGGAGGCAGCCTGCACGGAGTCAGCTCCATGGTGCAGGCATGGACTTGGGAATCAGTTTTACAGCCGTGATATTTTATGGCACCTGCAGGGAGTCTAAATGCATCCAGAGACGCTGTGCGGCAGCCTCCCCAGGACCCTTGCCAATGTGGCAAGTGGACAAACAATGGATTTGGGTGCCTTGCAGACAGAGGTTCAAATACCAGTTCTGCTAATTCCTGGTTGAATGATCTTAGACAAATTGCTTAAGACCCCTCTCTCTCTCTCTCTCTCTCTCTCTCTCTCTCTCTCTCTCTCTCTCTCTCTCATCTTCTGTTAATTGACAAGTTTGCTGTAAGTATCAAAGACATGATGGATAGTGAACGCCTGCCCTTCTGTGGAATTCATTTTCCTCTTTCCTGTTCTTTGAAGGCATAAGGCCCTGCCCTGCCCTGCTGATGATCCTCCATCTGTTGTCCCAACAGTGCACTTGCCCCCACTGATTCAGATGGGACATCCCTTTGAACCCAGGCCTCTGCATGCACCCCACTCTTCTTTGAAGGCTGCCTTTCCTCCCCGCATGCAGCACCCCAGCCAGTGGTCCAGGCCAGCAGCCCGAGCCTACCCTCTCAGCTGGCCTGACTGCCACAGAGATCCACCGGCCCTAGCCCACTGAGACCGAGATGGAGGACTTTGCTGGGTCAGGTGACTGAGAAAGGCTCCCTGGGCTCCCCCTACACAGCAGGGTCACAGACCTGCCCCAGGTTCACCTCCTGCCTTTGCTCCTTCACAGCTGTGGGTGGCCCTGACTCTGGACTTTCCCTATGTGACAAGAATACACATGTTCTCGTTGGTTAAGCCACAGGGATTCTAGATGCACTCCCTGAGATCCCCCATTCCTAGGAGGGCTGCCTTCAGGGTTCCTGTCCCCTTAGTGAAACAAAAAATTTTATATGGCACATTACACTGCATCGTGACTCTTAGTTTTCTTCCTGGGGTCCCCTCTGCCCCCCCCCTTGGTTCCAGGTGGCACTGACTCCCTTCTGAGCGGCAGCTGTAGCATCCCCATGGAGGCAGGACCCTGGGCTCATCAGCGAGATGGAAAGGGTCTTATGTAGGATCAGGGGATAATGAATCTTCCTCAGCTCTGGATAAGACCCGAGGACTCATTCCCATTTGAGTGAGCTGTCACTCAGACAAAACACCGTCTGTCCCTTACCTGGGGAAGGGCTGCCATGGAGCAGGGGCACCCAAGGATCCCTTGCTACCTGCTGCTATCAGGCATCTGCAGGAGGAAGAGGAGCAGGCTTCCAGGGTCAGGGAGTTGATCCAACCCTTGGGGTTGACACAAGAGCCCCCAGATCCCTGATGTCCTTGTCATGCCTCCTGGCACTGCAATGCTTCTTCATGCTGAGGCTGGTCAGCAATGCGTGGGTGCAGGCACAGGAACAGGCTTGTCCTGGAGGGACACACTGCCCACCCGCATCAACCTGCTCTCAGGGCACACCATGAGCAGCTGTTGTGGACATCACTCAGTGGAACAAAACTAAAGAGTCTAATGACACCTGCTCTTAAGAAAACAGACACCGAGTGCCACCAGAGGGGAACTCGGGAGCCATCTGCTCTGGCATTTCTCACATGTTAGTAAAGAAGTCTTTCTTCAAGTGAAATCTTAACTGTGACATAATACGGATGATGAAAAAGAAGGCGGGGCTTCTCTGGTGAAGTGGGTGGAGGGCGCTGAGCCTTCTGCCCTTTGCTCCACCCAGAAGCCATCCTCCCACCCCAGCGAGCAACTCTCGACCAGAGGATGTCCACGGTCATCCCTCTCTGATTCCATGTAAAACCCAAGTAATGTCATTTGCATTTCCCAGGGTGATCCAAACCTAATATAAAAGCTACTCATCTTGCCCAACTCTTTGAGGGTTTATGAAGGAGAAAATTGAGACCTGGGAGGCGACGTCCCAGCCGGGGCTCCTCACTTAGCCATTCTCAACGTGACACGCTGCCACCAGCTGAAAGGTGTGCCCTGTCTGTCCCGTGTCATCCCAGGCAAGATGTCCACCTGGCTCCTTTCGGATCACTCAGGATCCTGAGAAGCAAGCTGCTTTACAGGAAATCAAGACCCTGAGCAAGACGTCCAGGGAGAGGCTGCCAGTGTCAGACTGGGATGGAGACCCAGCCTTGGACTCTCAGAGCCGACGTCAAGGGACAATTGTGGCTCAGATGTCAGTGTAATTACAGGCCTGTCATTAAGCATTAGCTCTGTGGCGGGACGGCAGGGGTAGAAATGAAATAAGCATGAAGCGAAGGGGCACAGTGAGCAGAAACTCGTCTAGCAGGGCCCCAGGGAGAGCAGGGGGGCTGGCCACGATGGCCCGGCCACCCCACGCCCCCAATCCTCACCTTGCTCCTCATGACCCCAGCTGCCTCCTCAGGATCCAGAGAACAGCCAGGTAAATGCTGGGGTCCCCGTTCTCCTTCCCAAAGCCACCTGGGAGCCTCAGATTTTCACGCCCCTCCAGCTCCCGTACGTCATTCATTCATGTTTTCATTCATTCAACAAATATTTATTAAATATAACTGGCAGCCAGGCATCTTTCTAGGCTCTGGGGATATAATGGTGACAGGGGATCTGATTTTGAAAGATGGAGTGGTCAGAGAAAGACTGAGGAGATGACATTTGAACAGATCCCTGAATAAATAGGAGAAAGGGGCAACTAGACTGAGAACTGCAAGTGCAAAGGGTCTGAGGTAGGCTGCAACCCACTTGATGTGCCCAAGGAGACTGAGTGGGGAAGCAGAAGGAGCAAGGGAGGAAGAAAAGGAGTGAGTCAGATCCAAGTGCAGGGGGCAGATGCTGAGGTATGAGGGTGGAACAGGGAGATGGGCCAGCCGCGGTCCTACAGGCCTGGAGCAAAACAGCAGTGGCTCAGACTGGGGTGGTGCGGCAGGTGAGAAGTGATCTTTCTCTTTAAGAGCTTATGTTGTGCCTGCTCTGACCTCAGCTCTCCTATCTTGCTTCATAATGGCTCCCCATCTCCAAAGCCATGCTGGGCCATCATCTCACTCAAGGCAGCATGAGCCTCGCACACATGAGACCAGACACCATCATCAAAGCTGCCACAACAGGCGTCCCGGCCTGTAGCAAAGCCATCAGCCCCTCTCTGTCCTCTTCCATATTTAACCAAAACGATGCCTCCAGAAAGAACCAGGGACTTTGTCGACAGGGAGGCTGCCATTACAGAAGGACACATCACAGACACACAGGACAGTGAGGAGCAGGCGGGGCCCTAAGCATGTCACACCCCTTCCTTCACATGGGATCTCGATGTTCACAGGAGTGAGCAGGAGAGGGACTCTGGTGGATTCCTGCCGCAGACTCACCTACGAAGCCCAATGTGAGGAATGGACCCTCCTCGTGGTGCCTGGGCCCCTGACCCAGATTCCCCAGGCTCTTCGCTTCTGGGTCCCAGCTCCTGCGGCAGCTGATGCTCTTGCCAAACCTGCTAAGTGCACAGAGGGAGGTGGAGAGATGGCTGAGGGCACCATGCAGCAGCCCCAGCGCTGCACCTGGACAAAGGAGGAGGCAAACTGAGGGCCATCACCTGGGGCCATCCCAGCCTCACTCCCCGAGGGTCTGCTCTCTGCCTCCCGAGGCAAGAGCCAACCAACGGGTCAGGGTGGGGAAGGAAGCCCAGGCGTCAAGCTGGGAGACCAAGATGCATGGTAATGACCCCTTCAAGGCAGCATACTTCGTCAGGCCCTTGCTGAAGACAGGCTTGGCTGGGGCTGGGAGAAACAATTTGGGCACTTCCTGGACAGGAGGGGGCTTCCCAGCCAACTGGAGCCCCAGCCTCAGACAAGAGAACCAAGCAGGGTTTGTAGAGCCTCTCTGTTCCAGAAACAATGGTGACAGTAGATAGTAACATCCTGCCGGGCCCTCCAAGGCTTAAGATGCCGCACTTACATTCTCTCATTCGACTTCACAGCATCCTGGATGCAGCCTGGACTGAAATCATCCTCAGAGATTCGGAGAGCATCAGATGACTGCCCAGGCCCTGCAGGAAGTTAGGAACTAAGATGAGCTCTGGATTTCTACTCCCAAATTCTCAATCCCCTCCATTCCACCACCAAACTCCCCCAAGCAGTGTGAAGTCCAAGGTCAAGCGAGGCCTCCATGATCATTCATTCCAAGCCTGTTCTGTTACAGGGAGGGCCCAGGAAGGACAGAAGGAATGTAGGGGCCGCCTGCAGCCAGCTGCCCTGGGCCCACAGCAGGCCTCTCACCCGTCCTCCCCAGAGGGGTCTGGTCCTCCGGAAGCCCCCAGCCCACCCCACTGTGTTTCCTCTCCGCTGCAGAGACAGCTGTGGCCGTCTGCAGCTGTTTACTGGCAGTCAGTTGGAAGAGGAACTTAAGTGGAATATAAACTATCAAATTAAATTCCCCTCTCCAAATGCCACCGGATTCGCTCTACCTGAGAATTTCAATCAATGCTGGTACCTTCTCCCTGCTTCTTAATGGAAGGTACAGACAGGATTCTCTGCCTGCCCTTAGAGCTGTGCTGCTGTGGCGATGCTGCTGGAGGGGACGACGGGGACGGGATGTCCGCAGAGATGGGCATCACAATGCGTCACCTGAAAGCGCAGCTCCCTTGAGCTGGCAGCAGTGTCACCAAGCAGGTGCGGACAGCTCCATTCATTTCCCTGAACCAGAGGATTTGTCCAAGGAAATGGTGCGAGAGGAAAGGTCGAGGGAGGAGGGCAGATCCCCTCCCGGAACCACAAACAGAGGGCAGCGAAGCCCAAGTCCATACAAACTGCAGCAAACCACCACTGATCAGAAGTCAAAGGCACGGATCTGGGCCCCCAATCTGTCATTACCCAGAATGGCCCCAGGCGGGGGGTTCCCGGGGTCTAGTGCTGGGTCCACCATTATCAGCCAGGCGAGCTTTAGCAGGTCTGTTTTCCGAGGTTCCATTTCCTCTCTCTGTAAAATAGCTTCCTGCCCACAGTATGGGGGATGGGAACACTCTTTTAAAATTGCCATATGCCATACAATTGTGAGTCCCTTGTGAGGTTTTTCCTCTAGAGCCTAGGGATTCTGGGATGGGTGCCTGGGCCAGATAGAACAAGAAGGGCCTCCTAGGCCATTTGTGCTCTGGAAGAACTGGGCTGGGCTGGCCATCCCGGAAGTGACCTCTGGGAGGCAGCAGAGGAGGTGCTATGGAGCTGTGACTCTCAAGACCCAGGGCTGCGCCCAGTCCCAGGATGTGGAGGGGATGTGGAGGGAGAAGAATTGAGGCCAAGTCATTAGAGGGAGATAAGGGGCAGGAGTCTTACAGGACCCCATGAAGCCACAGCTACTGGTCACTGTCTCTAGCAAGTGTCCTGCTGCCTTTCCCCTCTCCCAGGGTCAGCCTCTTTCTTTCAGACTTAGGACTGGAAAGAAGGTCCCAAAGTTCTTCCCTCAGCCCCTCTTTCCCTCCACAATAGGCTTTCTTGAGTGGTCATGAAATGCCGTCACCCCTCTTCCTGAGGGTGGTAGAAACCACCTTAAGTCTAGGCACAAGGAAAAGCAAGACAGAAATAATGACTGGCACCTACCAAGCACCAGGCATGGCACTGGTCAGCAGTTAGGCACACCATCAGATGAATGGGCCAGCCTGCTTTACAGATGAGGAAACTGAGACTCAGAGACAGCAAACCACTTTTTCAAGATCACACAGGTTGTAAAGGGAGAGAGCAGGATCTTGGACCTAGAGACCTCTGGCTCCAGGGTATCCATGTTCTTTCCATCAGGCTACCACCTGAAAATATGGGGGTGTGTGAGGAGAGACGCCACAAGACTGGAAATTGCAAAGACCTAGAAAAGCCATAGAACCCAGATGTGGTTTCCTCCTCCATTCTGGATCTCTCTGTACCCCCAGGTTTCCTGAGGCCAGTCTTGTCTTTGCTGAAAATTTTTTCACTACTTTCTGCTTCTGCCCTTGAGAATCCCTGGGGAGCCACACCCAAGATGGCGCTCTGCCTGTCTCTCATATCGTGGTCCAAGCTTGCTCCCTTAGCTCTCTGCAAACCTGTGCTCCTCCGTGTTTTTTTCCACTGGCAAAATTATTTTCCCATTTTCATTCAAAATGGGATATTAGTGCTCTGATCATGTGTTGGGTGCAGGATGAGGGGCGAGGGCCCACACTGGTTCCCACTTAGGGAACACTTGTGGCTGGACAGGTCCCATATGTGCTGTTAGCATGCAATGTATCTCATTTAACCGTCTCCATATCCTTCCAGTAGATACTGGGTGTCTCTCTTTCTCTCTCTGATAGATGAGTAAGTGAGGCTCAGTCATTGAGTAAACTACCCAATGTCAACAGGTAGAGTCCAACAGCCAGGTCTCACCCTCAAAATCTCTGGCATGAACTCCAGGTATAAACACCACCCACAGGGTATAGCCAGGGAGATAACCTACTTCCCTATCCACTCTACTTCCATGACTAATTCTTACTATAATTTAATATAAATTCTTAATATAATTTATTATAATAAACCCTATCACTGGGATTCTTCTAGGATAGAAGAAAAATATGTGATATGTCTTCGAGAATCTTTAGTCCACTTGAGGGGTCAAGTCACATGAATTGGGCTCATTATCTCCCTGGGCCTGGGCCTGAACCATCTTTCCCCAGCATCTTCCCTTCCCCCATCATTCTCCTCTGGCTGTCCCTGTACCCCTCCATTGCCTCACCCCCGGGAAGGTTGTTGTTCTCAGGTCCTTGTCTTCAGCCTACCTCTCTTCTCACCCTCCATCAGGGCTGCAAATTTGAATAACCGCAGGAGGTGTGCAAAAATTCACACAGCAGGCAGAGTGTTAAACAATAGCGCAGCAACCAAGCAAAGCCAGATGCTGCCCACCGGCCTTGAACCGCAGCAGCCCCCACACAGCGCAGAGCCAGGCAGAGCTTGCCGCAGTCTGCGTGGTGCTCAGAGCCCGGGGTTGGCCCTCTTGCTCCTGCTTCTCTTTTCCCAGGACAATTTCATCTGTCTCAAGTATTTATCTACTTCCTGTGTTGACAGCTCTGAATACCCTATCCTCAGCGTGGGTCTCAGGAGCAATGGTCGGACAACAGCCCCAGCTGCACCCAACTTGGCCAACACAGTGCCCCACCCCCATATTCTTTGCATCCTCTGTTCTCTCTCTCTCTCCTCTCTCTCTCTCTCTCCTCTCTCTCTCTCTCTCTCTCTCTCTCTCTCTCTCTCTCTCTCTCTCTCTCTCTCTCTCTCTCCTGTCGCTCTTCTCCCCATCCCACTCACCCAGAGAGCCTAAGCCAGGATCCTGGATTCTGCCCCCTTGTCTCTCCACATCTGATGGCAACATCCTGCTGACTGTGGAAGTAATGTCCCTCCTGTCAAGCCCTCTTATGGCTGCCCTAGTTCAAGTTGTCACCTGCATCCCCAGAGCTTCCCCACACACCCATCCTGAGTAGCAAAACAAACAAATCTAAAGCCACTTGCAGTTTAAATCACACATCTGATAGAAAAGACATTACTGCCCTTTCCCAGCAGTGCTCCTGAACTCTGGGGACCCTCCCCAGCCTGGCCACACATCCATCTGGAGCCACCCCGGCTCCCACTCCATTCTTTGGGTGCAATAAACTGTCCTTGTCTTCCTTTCCCACCCACCTGCCACTGCCTGGGCAGGTGCCAGTCACACTGAGGTCAGACGTCAGTGCCCCGTCCTCTGAGAAGCCTCCCCGGCGTCCTTGGAATCTGAACGGCTACCTTTCCTCAGGGGCTCCCTATCCCCAGCACCATGGCACAGGATTTACACATCACTAGTTTCCTTGTCTGGAAACTGGAGGGTGAGCCCACTGGTGGCCTCCCGACACCTGTCAGCCCTTATTCTGACTGCAGTGAGTCCTGGGAAGTGGTCGTATCCACAGCCTACACCGTGAGCACCTCACATGCACAGCCAGGTTTAATCTTTACATCAACCTGTGAGGAGTCATTATCACCAGGTGGAAAAACTTGACGAACAGAGAAGTTAGGTGCTTGCCCAAGGTCATGTGACCAAGATGTGGTGGAGTCAGGATTTGAACTCAGGCATTCTCGCTCCAGAGCTTGTTATGGGCAATGCCAAACACATGTGCATTCATTTCTATTTTTGATCCTGATAGAGATGCTACTGCCCTTCCCCCAAGAAGTGCATCTTGATTAGCCTGTTGCCCTTGCCATTTGCCTGTGGTTGGTCTGCAGACAGACCTAGGGTCACATGACCCAGGTCTGGCCAGTGGGATATGACAAGAATTCTGCTGGGCGTGCCTAGGAAAGATGATAGTGTTCCCCGTTACAGAGAAGCAAAGGTTCCTGAGCTGCCTTACTGCTGTCTTTGAACTTGAGGTGCTGTCAGGCTGGGGTACCCTCTCACATCTGAGGGGAGACATGCCAAGACAGAGGATAGCACAGGAGGAGGATTCCAACAGTCAGGTTTCTGATGGCAGCACCAGTCCTTGATCCGTGATCTCAGGAGCCCCTGCCCAGCGCTTCCTCCTTATGATAGAATGATGGATGTCTGTTCTGTTTCAACCACGAGTGGGCGAGATTCTGGTTCTTACAGCTAAACCCACACAGCCCAATGGACAGTGCCCAACACACAATAGGCCCTTCAGGAAGAGCTGTTCAGCCGACAAAATGTGAACATGGTGTGGGCAAATGTGGGAGCACAGGGTCGCTGCAAATCCCTGCACCAGCGCGAGGAGGCTGGTCTCCCTGTGCCTGTGTCCTCCAGTGGTTGGCCTCGGTGGGTTCAGCTGGGATCCAGCTTCCTCCATGTCGGTGGAGAAAGACACCTAAACAGAAGGGAGAATGGCAAGGGCTCCCCTAGGGCCCAGTCTCTAAACAAAGACCACTGCAAGGACCTCTTCTCTCTTGGCCTTGGACTTGAGTCAGCAAAATGAGGAAGTATGTGAAGGACTCTCTTTCCTCACCGTGGGGTCCTGAGAGCACCTGGGCAGGCACTGCAGGCCCCAGGAGCCTGGCTCTCCCTGTCAGACCTGCTACTCTCATGAGACCACAGGGGCATCGTGGGTCCCTGGGGAGTCTGCATGGGATCTAATACACTTGATGTTGCAGGCCAGCCCCCCTCCCCTTCCTAGTGGCCCTTTGCAGCATCCTATGTGAAATTATGCACCAATTCAAAGTTCACTCTAATTTTCCGCTTTGGAAAATCTCTACTCTGCACTCAGAAATGGGTCTGGTTAGTCAACTGCAGGTTAGTGTGAATTGATGTCAACCTCAGGACTATTTGCTGACTAGATCTCATCTCCCCTAGGAGGACGTTGATGGGTTTATTTTGAAAGCTTTGTGTCGGTCCTTGACGGTTATTTTGCACTGTTTATATCCCATCTTGTTTAACTTTTCACTTGTTTTCTAATTCTACAACTAGATTACAAGGCCCTCGGAGACCGAGTCCACAACATCTGTCCATACTTGGGATTCAATTATTTATCCATTCATTTAACAAACATCTATGGAGTGTATCCTAGATAGTGGGCTGTGTTCTAGGTCTGAGCTTTCAAAATGAATTAGGTGAAGTCCCTAGTATCAAGAGCTTACAATCTATTTTGGGGAGACAAACTTTGGAAGCAAACCATTAGGTCTCCTTCTCATGGATGTCCAGGGGCCCATCTCTTCCCTTGGACTCTGTCCTTGCCAACACCCATCTCCCACCAGCCTTTACTTGAGCTAGTGCAAATCAGTGTGTTGCTTGCAATCAAGGTAAATCAATTGCACTATCCCCTAGGGCAGGAAATGCATGAGCAGACTCTTCAAGGATCAGTATGAGGGGACAGGGGGCCACAGGGAGCATATTCCTGGCAGAGGGAACAGCACGAGCCACGGTGTGGAGGCCAAGAACAGCTTGTTATGGGCAATGCCAAACACATGTGCATTCATTTCTATTTTTGATCCTTCATTGTGGAATGAAAGGCTTTGTCCACAGTAAAGCAATCCCAGACATCAAAAGGCTGATAGAGGAGGTATTTTGGGATGTGCGTAGGGAGGAAAGGCCCTTCCCCAAACCTGCAGAACCACACTGGGTAAGCAGCTGTCTCCAAAGACCAAGGCTTAAAACCAATCCAAAGCTTAAAACCAATCCTGCTGATTCACAGCAGCTCTTTTGGTGCCAGGGATGCGCTAGTGAGAGAGAGCAGCTTCGCCCCAGCAGCCACAGTCCGGGGAGGGAGAAAAGGTCTCAGAAGAGGGAATGGCCAAGTTGCAAGGGATCCTAAGAGATCATTCCATCCAACAGAGGCCTGAGGGCCTCACTCCAAGGTGGGAGGGAAGTGGGACCAGAACCCAGTCTCCTGGCCATGGAGAGTGACCATTTCCCTTGTAACTTGGTACTTACACATGAGAGGAAGACAGACTCTCAGAGCTTGGAAGTTCAGGGTCTTGGAGAGAATTGAGATGATGGAAAGCTAGGTTTCATCCACTCTGTAGCTTCCCAGAAAGACTAGCGTTCAGAGCCAAATGACACATGCTCTAAAAACATCCAGAGCATGTAAACAAGGCAATGTGATCCCTTTCCCCTGCCAGGGCTCCCCTGGGCTGCCAACTGGCCCTTGGTCTCCCAAGACCAGTTTCTAGGGAGCCCAAATCTTGATAAGAGACTGGTAGAGTCCACTTGATTCCACAGAAGTTAACTGGCCTACTGTGTGCAAGGCCCCATTATTGAAAAAGTGTGAAGAATTCAGATCTTCCTACTTGGGACCAATCCCAATCATCTAAAGCCAAGGGATCAGATGCTGTTCAGTTAGCAAGGACAACCTGGCCCTATAAGGACATTCACTCCAAGTTCTGGCCTCCATCCAGCCCAGGGGATTGTCTTTCCATGACCTAGAGTGGTATTCTGCTTGCCTCTCATCCATCAGGAGCCACTGACTACATTTGCTTTTAAAAAATGCTGTTCATATGCATACCTTCAGCTTTAAAGGCAACTACCCTCGGTAAAACACAGGCACTCAATGCAAGATCAAAGAGTGTCCTCTTCTCCTTCACTGGGGGACCCTCAGCACCTAGGACAGGGCCTGGCACATCCCTATTGCCCCATAAATGTTTGTGGAATGAGTGAAAGAATTTGTTGACCCCCTGCCCGCCAGCCTGTCGCCTCCTCATTTACTACCGTGTCCTCTTAGCTTAGAGCAGTGAGCCTGGCCCATGGTGGGCACATATCTGCTCAATGAATGAATGGCATGCTCATTACTGATTTTTTGACAAATAATTGTTCCTACGGTGTCATCAGCATCAGTCTCTTCCATATGCAAAGTCCCAGGCCCGGCTTGAAAAGCCAGTGGTGCCCAAGAAGGAGCCCCTGCCTCTGGGGAGCCACTGTCTACTAGAAGCCCTCCACCCTAGCCAGCCTTGGATTTGCAGTTCATCGGAAAATGAAAACCATCTGTGTGGAGCACATAGAAAGGAATACCAGGCGGGAAAGTTCCTGTCTGCCCCATCAGCTGTCCTCCATCTTCTGCCGCTGGTCTCCCTGGGCATCTCACCTGCGCTGATCGTGTTGGTGGGCTCCTGTGCCTTCTGCCTTCCTGGTGGGATTGGCCCATAGGGGACAGTGGCAGGAGATGACTGGAGAGGTCAGGGCAGGACTTTCCCTGGCTCCTCCTGTAGTGCTGGCACCCTGCCAACCCGCTGACCCACAGAAGCTGTTGGCAGGAGCTGTGTTCCCCTAATTTGAGGCCCCATTCCTCGGGGTCTCCCTCCTTCCTACCCACAGTTCTATAAACAACTCTTTTATTAAATTATCTTCAAAGTATCTCATTTGAGCACGCCATTTTTTTTCTTGCTGTCAGCAGATACTGACACACATCCCTGAAATATTTTTTTAACAAAAATCATACAAATGAACTAATTCTCCCATCACTTAAAAGGCCAAAGCCTTGCCTTTACGTGTGGGTCTCATAGATGAAGCTCCACATCATAAAATGCATAAAAGAATCCATAATGTAGAGACGATGGCTTACCTGTCTCCTTTTCTTTAAATCGCAGTGAAGAATGAAGGGCACTTGCTGAAGCAATCCAGGTATAGAATCCTTCAAGATTTTTACAGGTCGTTTTCTAATCTTTTATATTTGTTCCGCCTACACCTGATTTTCCAGCAGTTTGTTTTCATGACTCACATTTAGGGAGATTATTTCCCCTTTTTAAAACCTCGACATTTATTTATTCATTCATTTTTGGGGGACCAACATATATCCATCCAATCCTACTCTGTCTCAGGCCTTGGGCCTTAAGACAGGGTCCCCCTGCTCTCTGCCCCTAAGTTCTGTCTAGAGAGGAGAAACAGCCCCTCATCTCATTAGCATCTCATTAGCATCTGAATAGCAAACAGCATCTCATTAGCATCTGAATAGCAAACCCCTTCCTTCAACAGCTTTTCCTAAGCGACTTTGGTTGTATGGAAACAACTCTCTCGCTATTTTCACACTTGTATTTCATTGATCAGTGTCACACTTTGTGTGTTATTTATTTATTTGTTCATTTATTTATTTATTGTCACCAGGGATTGAATCCAAGGGTGCTTAACCAGTGAGCCACATTCCCAGCCCTTGTTATATTTTATTTAGAAACAGGGTCTAGCTAAGTTGTTGAGGCTATCTTTGAAATTGAGATCCTCCTGCCTTAGCCTCCCAAGCCACTAGGATTACAAAGTCTGAGCCACCATGCCCAGCTCAGTGTCCCACTTAACTAGACACAGAGCTACTGTAACAAGTAGAATTAGCCTAGGTGGGCTTGGGGGAAATCTAAACAGCTCCTGGTATGTGTATAATTCTTGAGCAGGGGGGGTAGAAAAGATAGCTGCCCTCTGTAAGGGCTCAGCATGCACCCCAGAGCAGGTGGATAGGTCACCTTAACTCAGCAGCTAGGGTTAAGCAGATGCTGTGGTCTGAAGGTTTGTGTCCACCCCAGTCCATGTGCTGAAATTCTAATCCAGGTGCTGGTATTAGGAGGTAGGGCCTTTGGGAGGTGACTAGGTCATGAGGTTATGACTGGGACTCGTGCTCTCCTAAAAGAAGCCCAAGAGTAACCCCTTGCCCCTTCCACCATGAGAGGACACAGCAAGAAGATGCCATTTATGAGCCAGAAAGAGGGACCTCACCAGACACCATCTCTGCCAGAACCTTGGATTCCCAGCCCTCCAGACTGTGAGAAATAATTGCCTGGTATTTCATTATTGCAGTTTGAATGCATTAAGAGAGACAAGGTTAACCACGAGAAATACCATTATTACTAATTTAGGGAGAAGCCTTCCAGTGCAGATCACATACCGGGTAATGGTGTCAAGACTTGGAGAGGAAAGCTCTTAGGGAGGATGAGTGGGAGCTGGTCTTAAGGTACCAGCAGGAGTTTGGCAGACAACAGAAGGGCGGTAGGAGGAGAGCACACACCTAGGAAAGTGCTGATGTGTCCAAAGGCCTGGCAATGACATGCTCACCTGTGACCCCATGCAGGCACGTGAACCCCAGCACCCCTGCACAAAGTTCTCATGGTGGCCCTTTTTGAACAAGAAAAAGAAAAGGAAAATAAGAAGCAGAAAGAGACCATCTTTTCAAATGAGATACGGTTATATACTGAAATAATACACAGCAGTAATAAATGAATGAATTATGGTTCGTGCAATAGCATGGATAAATCTTACAACCTGAGTTGATTCAGAAATGGCAGAAAAGTTCATGCAGAATGATTCCACTTAACAAAGTCAAAAAATGTGCAAAGCTGAATGGATTTTTTTGTGTGTGTGGATATTATAAAGGAAATGAACAGTAAGGAGTCCATTGCGGAGCAGAGAGAAGGGCAGTGAGACCCGAGAACATGGCATCAGAAAGGCGAGGGGCAGTGTGTTGGGGTGGGGGCCTGCTGGCCATCATAGGGCTCAGGGTCACTCTGAAGATGGCTGCACGTTTCCAAACAGAGGTGTGACTCAACCCAGCTGTTTTTAAAGTCTGTATGTATTTCTAAATTATGTACACACACCATGGAACAAATGTATTGCCTACCTGATAAAAACATATGTGAAAAATTAGAACTATCACAAGCTGAAATCTCAAGCCATAAAATATTCTTAAGATGAAGCTCTTTGTTCATGGCAGTGGATATACATTCACATTTCAGATAGCCTTCTTGATAATTCTGAAATGTGGAGGCCGCCCCATCACTGATATGCTGATCTCATCACGCGGCTGACCAGGACCTTGTCCTGGGAGTAGGAAAATGTCAGCTCAGCCTTTGCCCTGCGTCCACTTGAGCTTGCCTTACAGGTGTTATCTCCGATCTGTGATTCCTTTGTAGAGCCATCTTTAAGCTGCTTGCCCTTTGGGGGAGGGGGTTGATTAACACATGATAAGGTAATCTGCAAGTGCTCCCACGGTGGCACTCGGCACTCACGTGACCACCATGCACCCAGCTGAAAGCCAACATTACAAGGAGCCTCCACGGACCTGGCACACACCCACTCCTTAGAGTCCATGGAATATGACTTGAAGTCCCCTGGCCTGCACAGCTCCCAGGGTCCTTTCAGGCCCCTGTCAATGCCATCTGGAGGAAGAAGGGATGTACACACAATGTTCCCTCAGGGCAGTGGATGCCGAATCCTGGTTGCTCAGGGAAGGTCTGAAGCTGCTGTCCGACATGGGGGCCGCTAGCCAGGGTGCTGTTGAGTCCTTGGGGTAGCTAGTCCAGATTGAGATGAGCTGTAAGCACAACATACACAGCAGGTTTCAAAGACTCAGTGAAAAAAATAAAGTAAAATATATCCTTGTCTGTTTTCTGGTGCTGGAACAGAACACCTGAGCCTGGGCGATTTGTCATGGAGAGCCATTTACCAGGTTCTTGTGGCTGGGAAATCCAAGAGCACACCAGCAGCATCTGCTCAGCTTCTGTGGGCGCTTTGGGCTGCTTGAACTCACAACAGAAAGTAGAAGGGCATACAGGCACACGGGGAAGACAGAGGGCACCGTGGATGGACTGGCTTTATAACAACAACAGGCAGTGACTAGACCCGTTCCAGCAGAGCAAGCACTCACTCACATCAGAAGGGTATGCATCCAGCATGAGGCTCCGCCCCAATGCCCAAGCTCCTCCCATCAGATCCCACCTCCCAGGCCAAGGCCACCCATCAGAGACCAAGTCTCAACATGAGTTTTGGTGGGAACAAACCGTGGCCCTCATTAATATGTGTTCATACACGGTGCATGTTGGAATGTTTTACAATGTTGACCTTTTTAGAATATTGGCTTAAATTCAGAATAATATTAAAAGTATTTTTTAAGTTTCATGGAGAGGAGGAGGAAAATGGGGAGATATTGGTCAAAGTGTGTCGTTTCAGGGAGGAAGGATGGGTCTCTGAGGTCTGTTGTACAGCAGGTGACTGTAGGTAACGATAATGTATTGTGTATTTCAAATTTTCTAACAGAGTAGACTTTAAATGTTCTCACACAAATATAAGTACATGAGAT